AAATTGGGTTTCTCTTTTCAGTTTTAGAAAGTTGAAGGAAATCCCATTTTGCTGTATACAAACTCTGCTGCAGAAACATATCTGCTCTTTTTGTTCGTCTGTTTTTGTTGAATTGAAACTTGATTTGGGTATATTGATAACTGTGAATAAATGGAGAAGTTAATGAGACTCATTTCAATGGCTCCTTGGCTTCTGCTACTTTGTCTTCCTTTCGCATTTGCTGGACATGACTATAACCAAGCTCTTAGTAAGAGCATTCTCTTCTTTGAAGCACAGAGATCTGGTTACCTTCCTCATAACCAGAGAGTCACATGGAGAGCTGATTCTGGTTTAAATGACGGCAAGGCCAGTGGGGTAGGTTAAAGTTCCTCTCTCAAGTTCCTAATTTTGAACTTCTTACTCAAGTCAATTCTACTCCAAATAACCAATTTGGAATCTAAAATGTTACCGTAATCTTGATTTCTTCTTTTGAATGAAAATTGTGGTTCTAATTTGATGAAATTGTTTGTGCAATTTTTACAGGTGGATCTGGTAGGAGGGTACTATGATGCAGGGGACAATGTGAAGTTTGGACTGCCCATGGCATTCACAATAACAATGATGTCCTGGAGCATAGTAGACTACGGAAAACAAATGGCTGCAAATGGAGAGCTCGGCCATGCCTTGGAAGCCGTCAAGTGGGGCACTGACTACCTCCTCAAAGCTCACCCCGAACCCTATGTCCTTTATGGAGAGGTACTCTCACGGCCTTCCCTCCATTCATTTCCGTTTGCTCCTGCCAGTGTTAACAAAGTATCGTTTGTCACTAATGTGTCCATCTTTGTTTTTAAATCACAACTTGACACCAACACTAGTCTACAAAAATATTTATATATTAGTTAGAATTTCATACTACTAATATTTTCTTTAAACTCAAGGTACTGAATAAAAAAAGGTAATTTAAAGGGATAAATTGTAAAATGAATTAACAATTTAGGTAAAGATCCATTTAAAATTAATCTGTTGCTAAATTCTGGTGTGGTAAATTTTAGGTGGGAGATGGTAACAGTGACCACTACTGTTGGCAAAGACCAGAGGACATGACAACCGACCGTCACGCTTACAAGATCGACCCAACAAACCCCGGATCAGATCTCGCCGGTGAAACCGCAGCAGCCATGGCTGCGGCCTCAATCGTCTTTCAACGCTCCAACCCTGCATATTCCAGGGAGCTTCTTCGCCACGCCTACCAGGTATATTCATACTGTCTCTTTGTTGACTCTTCTTTTGAGCTCACAATTGCTGAGACAATTTTGGTGGACCATTGGACTCACCGCTGCATGTTAGCTCACCCTCTGCGTTTTGGCATAGGCGGTTGTTGTGCGCACTTTAGCAAAAGCTGCCTTGGACCGTAGTAAATAGGTAGTTAAGGAGCCTAGCTTTTTTGTCAGCCTAACAGTGCAACGTGGCGACTCGGCAGGCCCCAAGTTAGCACTCATTTAGCAAAATGACAAAACCATCTTTGTTTTGCTCTTCTTTTCATTTATTTTTATTATTACGGGATTTTAGATGTTTTTTTTTTCAAGGTTGAGTGTTCCAAACGCTTGTTAAAAAAAAAAAAAAAACACCGGCAAGTACTTGTAATTAAAAAGAAACGGTGTCGTTTGAAGGATTTTTCATTATTTCTGGTTTTAAATTGAAAAGGTATACGCGGTACACTTTTTCGGCGCATAATTTGGATCATGGGAGCACTTTTCTTTGCCCCGTTCATTACGGGTAATGAATTATCTTCTGGCCGTACATATCTATCGTACTATCAGATCTTAACCGTCCATTTTACAGCAAAATTCGCAACTAGTAATTCGCTTCCCCCAATTAAACCCATATCCCCAAATTACCCTTGCTTGTTTCCTAATATTACACCACCTACCCATACACTTCAACAAAAAATTTCAAGAATTAATCAGTGATGTTTTAATAATAATTTTGCTTTTCGTGTTTTCAGCTATTCGAATTTGCTGATAAATACAGAGGCAAATATGACAGCAGCATCACAGTCGCCCAAAAATACTACCGATCCGTTAGTGGCTACAATGTAAGCTGTATTAAATTTGCTTCAACAAATAATTTGATGAATGTTAAGAGTAATGCTATAATAAAAAGCATAAAGCAAAATCTGGTTAATGGTAGAAAATTGACATGTTGCTTTGTACGCTGTATTGATTAATTCTGAATTTGGAATTATGTATAGGACGAGTTGTTGTGGGCCGCTGCATGGTTGTACCAAGCTAGTAACAATCAGTACTACTTGAACTATCTTGGAAACAATGGTGACTCAATGGGTGGAACCGGCTGGGCCATGACTGAGTTTGGTTGGGATGTCAAATACGCTGGGGTTCAGACCCTTGTCGCCAAGGTATATTATTTTCAACTGCTAATTCAAATCCATCCATTATCAAACAATAATTGTTTATGACAATTCTTTCTTTTTCTAAGTGATTAATGATTTTGGTTCACTTGCAGTTCTTAATGCAAGGTAAAGCAGGTCTCCATGCACCAGTGTTTGAGAGGTATCATGAGAAGGCAGAGTACTTCATGTGTTCGTTGATTGGAAAGGGTGGCCGTAATGTTCAGAAGACTCCTGGTGGTTTGATTTTCCGACAGAGATGGAACAACATGCAGTTCGTGACTAGTGCCTCGTTCTTGGCCACTGTGTACTCTGACTATCTCACTTCCTCTAGCGGAAGCTTGAAGTGTGCTGCTGGCAATGTTGCACCATCCGAACTTCTTTCTTTTGCAAAATCTCAGGTGATTGCTGATCTCTTCGCGGATTTAACATTTTACCTTTTTTTATTTTTATTTTTTTTTAATGAATGCTAACAAGTTTAGCCTTGAATAAATTTTCTGAAGTTTTGCAATGTTAAAATCTCAGGTGGATTACCTTCTTGGAGACAATCCCAGAGCTACAAGTTATATGGTTGGTTATGGGAACAATTACCCACAACAAGTTCACCACCGAGGTTCTTCAATTGTTTCGATCAAGGTTGACCCTGAATTTGTTGCCTGCCGGCAAGGTTATGGTACTTGGTATACAAGGAAAGCAAGTGATCCTAATGTCCTCACTGGTGCTGTGGTTGGAGGACCTGATGCCTATGATAACTTTGCTGATGAAAGGGACAATTATGAACAAACAGAGCCTGCTACCTATAACAATGCTCCTCTTCTTGGCATATTGGCTAGACTAGGTGGTGGTCATGGCGGTTATAACCAGCTTCTTCCTGGTATATATAGCCTATCTTCCCATTAAGTTTTATGATTTTAACTTTTTCTAATTCTCGCATCAATTATGACGATCATGACCTGCAGTGGTTGTTCCGGCTCCTAATCCTGTCTTTGCCAAACCGAAACCGGCACCAAAACCCGAATTAACTCCAACTCCAGGTATATTCGTTCTTCTATTTTAAATGATTTCCCCCTAAACATTACACTTTTAGTGGCTAGGATACACAAATTCCCTAAATGAAAAAAACTGACCTGGGGATTTTGTTTTGCAGCCTCATCTTCTAGTCCAATTGCCATAAAGCAGAAGATGACGACTTCCTGGAACGACAAAGGAAAAACTTACTACAGATATTCCACAGTGGTGACCAACAAGTCATACAGGACTCTAAAGGATCTCAAGCTTTCTATATCAAAGCTTTATGGTCCTCTATGGGGTCTCACTAAGTCTGGCAATTCTTATGGTTTTCCAGCATGGCTCAACTCTCTACCTTCTGGAAAGAGTCTTGAGTTTGTATACATCCATTCTACTTCTCCTGCTGATGTCTCAATTTCAAGCTACAATTTGGCTTAAGAAAGGAAGAAAATTGCAAAAACAGAGCAATGTCCACATAGTTTCCGGAGCTGTGGTGTAAGAATTGTGCAGCTATACAGAAAGCAGTATTTTTTTTTCTTGTTTGGGGATTTTTAACTTGTTGATTTGGTATTTACTCAGGTTCTAGCTGATCTTTAGGTCAAATAAACATTGAAGATGGGAGGAGAACGGAGTGAAGAGAAATTAAAAAGGAGTGCTCATCCTCTTTCTCCTCCCCTTCATTAGTTATTATATATATCTAATAGATAGGATTGATAGACAGTGAAAAAGAGTGAGAATTGAGAAGTAAACAAATGACTTTTCCATAGATTGCAAGGAGACTGTTTTTTATTTGTACTTCAGATGCTGCAAGCTTTGCAGCATTTTCCATATAAATAACAGTTTGCACGACAATATCTTGTCTCTATTCTCCTGTTCAAGATTCAATCAGAGTTCAGTTTGTGTTTTAGTAAAGATTTTCTTATGAACTAATACACATGCTGTCATTCTCATGGAAGTTTCCTGGATCACGTTGGAACTTTCATCTACGCTACTATGGCAGTTTTCTACTATCAGTATTCTTAAATGCTTTCAAAGAAGTGCTTTTGCAGACCGCTCATTTTACTGTTTGGTACTAAAAATGAATATTAGTTTTTTAATTTTTTTTAAAATTTTAATGTTAAATACATTAAAATCAAAATTTTTTTAACTCCTTAAAAATCAAAGGACATAAATTTTGGAATGACGGGAGTACCAGTAGAAAATATAATTATAATCAAATAATTTTTAATAAATAGGAAAAAGAAATTAATAAGCAGATCAAAATTTGATAAATAATAATTGAATGAAACTTACATTTGATGGGTTTGAACTTGAAACCTAAAATTACAGGATTCCTCCTAGAAAAAAAAAAAAAAAACTTGATTGATCATGGATTGAAATTTCAAGACATCTTTATATTATCTAAGTTCTATATGAAACAAATACTTTGCCAATGTTCGTCTTTTTTGGGGGTCAAGTGAGGAAACGTGCATGAACTTGGACCTCGTTGCCCGCACCTGGTCCAAGAACAACAGAAAAAAACAAACTTCGTGGCCTGCACCTGGTCATAGAACATTTTGGCCCAGTCCAAATGGCTGCACCGCCTTTGTTTAAACTAAAATAAAAATAAGTTTCACTTGCAAATTTCAATCGGTAAAGCAAATTGAGCTCTGGCTTTTAAGTTGTTTCTTTATAATTTTCAACTTTCGAAGATCGGGATTGAAAGATCAACGAAGAGAAAAGCAAGAGCAAGATCCATTAAAATCGAATAGAGAAAAACAAGAATGGAAGCGGAGAAAGAGAGCGTGTTGGTTCGGCGATGCATAGAAGCAGCTTGCCGAAACAGAGAGAGCGTGGAGAAATGGCGGAGACAAAGAAGAACCCTGGAGCGATTGCCTTCTCATCTTTCTCAATCTCTCCTCCAAAACCTCCTCCATCGCCGTCTCCTCTTCCCTTCCTTACTCGAGTACATTAAAATTCGTTTTTTATGATATATTTTTCAATTAATTTGAATTCGTTTTCTCTTTTCTCTTTTCTCAATAGTTACATTTTCTATACTACTGTGAATTGGAAGTTGTGTATTTTATTTCCTTTTTAATTTTAATTTGAAAGTTTGCAATCTGGTCCCTGTTAAAGTCATTTTATAATGCAGAGTATTCAAATATAGTGTGGAGGAGATAGATCTTAGAGGAGAGAATTGTGTAGATGCAGAATGGATGGCTTATATAGGCGCGTTTCGTTATCTACGATCCCTCAATCTCGCTGATTGTCATAGAATTAATGATTCTGCTATTTGGTCCATAGTAGGTATGTTTTTTTTTTAATGCAATATCAAGTATAAGGAAGTTCATTTTCTGTTTATCTTATATCTGAATGTAAATTATGCGATTTTGGATTCGTTAATTAGAATAATTAAGGAGAGAAGTGGAAATCAAAGCTCAATTTGGTCATGTTCATAACCAATTGTAATTTAGTTGGAGTCTTTAGAGAGTTACTTTTAAAACGTTTGTAGTGGGTTTTTTTGGGTTTTAGGGATGACTAGTCTGAAGGAGGTGGACCTTTCACGATGCATGAAGGTTAGTGATGCTGGCGTTAGGCATCTTGTATCCATTTCAAATTTGGAAAAGTTATGGGTTTCAGAAACTGGCATTACTGCGAATGGTGTTGCGCTGCTCTCTTCACTTAAGAATTTGTCTGTACTAGACTTGGGTGGTTTGCCTGTCACTGATACTACTTTGAATTCTCTCCAGGTACTCTTTTAGTAAATATATATATATATATATATATATATATATATCCATACGCTCTTTATTCTTGCTTGAAAAGTTTACAACATTTATTGTCATTGGCTAAAGGATGAAATAGTCCACAACTATTTCCAAACCTTCTTGATGACCGGATGATATGTACCTCTCGAATTTTCTGGTTATTAGTACCACTTTGTAAACTTTGGGATAGTAATAATAGTTTCTGTGAATACTTCATTTGGCTGAGAGCTGGGGTGTCTCAAATGCTGTTAAATTGTGTTATTGAGTTTTTTTGCCGATGGAATCATTTTTAAGAATTAGACAAGCTCAAGTTATATGTCAATTTGTATAGATTGTTATTTTTAGTTAAGTTTGGTGGTTCTGTTTTATTTCATATTGAAACATTGATTCTAAGATATTATAGTTAGTTTTCATTTTCAGGATAAAGTATCCAGGTTAAAATGATTTATGGTGGCTGTTTTGTTTTAGGTATTGACAAAGCTACAATACCTTGATCTTTGGGGGAGTAAAATATCTAACAAAGGGGCTTTGGTTCTTCAAAGGTTCCCCAAGCTGAGTTTCCTCAATCTAGCTTGGACCAAGGTTACAAGCTTTCCAAATCTGTCATCTCTTGAATGTTTAAACATGAGTAATTGTACCATTAATTCTATCCTTCAAGGCAATGGTAATAAAGTTGCTTTAGTGAAGCTTATTTTTGCTGGAGCTACTTTCATGAATGAGGCAGAGGCCTTTTTATATATCGAAACAAGTTTCTTAACCTTTTTGGATGTATCCTACTCTTCCCTTAACCAGTTCTGCTTTTTAGCTGATATGAAAATGCTCGAACATTTGGATCTCAACTCTAGCATCATTGGGGATGATTCAGTTGAACTGATTGTACGAATCGGAGCAAGTCTGAAAAGTCTAAATCTAAGCAGCACAAAAGTCAGCTCTGCTGGGATAGGGATTTTAGCTGGACATGTTCCCAAACTCGAAATTTTATGTTTATCGCACACATCAATAGATGATGTTGCCTTATCTTATATCAGCTTGATGCCTTCACTTAAAGTTATTGACCTAAGCGACACAAAAGTTAAAGGTATGGTTTCTTCAACACATACCTTAAAGTTGTTCCTTATTTGGATTAATCACGAATGTTGTCATATTCGTGGTTCTTTCACAGTTTTGTTTTCTCTTTTGCTGTTGCTTTTGTTCTTTGTTACTAGACTTTAACCGAATTATTATCCTTGATACGTAGTTTGGTGTTTAAGATTTCTTTTGCAACTTCCAGGTTTTATTCACCGGCCAGGCACTGAGTCACATATGGATGGCACACTAACAGCACTTCAAAATCTTAGTTATTTGGAGAGCTTAAACTTGGAGAATACACAAGTTAGGGATCAAGATTTGTACCCTTTATCAAGTTGCAAAGAACTGAGCCATTTATCTCTCAAATGTGCTTCCCTTACTGATGCTACCTTGCATCACCTTTCATCTCTCCCAAAGCTGACAAACCTTCATGTCTGCGAAGCTGTGTTAACAAATAGCGGCCTGGACACCTTTAGCCCATCAACAACACTGAGAGTACTGGACCTGATGGGTTGTTGGCTCTTAACTGAAGATGCTATCTCATTGTTCTTAAGGAAACATCCTCAAGTTGAAATACGGCACGAAGTTGTTCGCAACCTTCCAACACAGCAGCAAAATATTTCTAATCGCCCATCCCCATCACAACAATCTTGGAAGACTTATCAAGGGAAAAAAAAGCAGGGAAAAGTGGCGATCCCTCAGTTTTTTGTAGGTGAGTAGACTTTCACAATATTTCTCTATTAGCATCAATATTGACTCTTTTATCATCTAAATTTCGTTTCTTTTTTGTTCTTTGTTTTATGAAAATATTAGATCAAAGATTGAAATATAGCAGAGAGGAGCTACTTGCACTACAGTCTTTACCTTTATCTCTTAAATCTCCCCATAATACAGGTAGTGTAGCATCCAATCTACAATCAGATCAAATGGATTAATTCCTGTATCCTTGTCTCTGCAATTGTATGGTTAAGTGTTCTTTTTTCCTCTTCCGTTTTAGTAACTTCAATTTTGATTAAACCATTTTAATCAAGAAGAAATTGAGGCATTTGGCTGATTAAAGCCAGAATCAAACGAAAAAGACTTGCAATTGTGTTGCCATCTTGACTTCTTTGATTAGACGTTTTTTTTTCGCTTCTCAATCACAACCCACCCTTTTGTCCTTCTCTCCTGTCCGATTTTTAAGAGAATGCCAGGTTAGGAGTTTCAAATATGTAGATCTTAAAAATTGCGCGCGGAAGGATTGCAAAAAAAGCAGTCTCATTAAAGCGTAAATTAAGCAAAAAAATAATGAGAGAAAATGTAATAATCTCACTTAAATGGGGCCCAGTATTTATATTAACACAAAAAAGTTAATTTAAATATAATTAAATTTTCTTATTTTTACGAGCGTAGCAATGTTTTTACTTTAATATTCAATTTGACAAAATATATTTTATCCATCGGAAGTTCGTCCCATTCCTCTAGTCTCTCACATTTTTCCTCTACTCTTTTTTTTTTTTTTTTTCCACATTAGTTTCGAAATTTTTATTATATGAAATAAAATATTTATTACATAGTTAACTTCAAAAACCCAAGGGGATCTTACCAAATTTGGAACTGAACATTTGGACCATTGAACTTCAAATAATATGACATTTTTTTTCCACAGCACATGAAACTTTATTTGCTGTCCAAATTACCAAAAGAAAAGTAAGGAACAGAGAGTAACTTCTCCGTATGCCTGAATCGCAGAACCACCCCTTTAGGACCCCATTGGAAGTATTTTGTCAAGCATTTGGCTTGTTTGGCTTGTACAAGTTGTCTATCACACTCTGCATCCATAAGAATTTCTATCAGTGTTCAAGCACTTATGCCCATACACACATTCACATGTCGATACGGATACAGTAATTCGTGTATCTGTATTGTCTATGTTGTGTCAAACGTGTAAAACATGAAAATTATATGTCATAATTCATATCGACATAAAAAAAAATATAAAACACATATTTAGCTTTTGTCAAACTTATACAGGATTTTTGTTTATATGTATTTTGTCATATCAATTTTGTGTTGTGTTTAAAATTATCAAATCATGGAGAAAAGAACTAAAGCAAAGAAGCCCAACCAAGAAAAGAAGAAGAAAAATAGATACCTGATAATATTTAAGCAATTGAGGCCTCTTCTTCTTATATGTTGGGGTGAGAAGGTCACGTTCCATATCAAATGCTACGGGGTCAAGATGGACAGCTTTTATAAATTCGAAACCCTTCAGCTGTGTAAGATAACATGAAGGATAAAAGTTCAATTTCCATTCTCTTTCCTATAAGTATAAAGAAAGTAATTACTTTAATAGTCCAAAAAAACCATTAAATAACAAACCTTTTTCTCTTTGCCAATCTTTGAGAGCTCCCCAAGTATGTATTCTTTGGCCTTTGGGTTTTGACAGATGGAATCAAAGTCACCACTTACACCATTCTCGGCAGCCCAGCCTTCAAGTGCTTGCTTATTGGGGTTAACAACAGCAACAAGGAAGGACTCAAAGCTGTTCCCATAAACCCATATCTGGAATTGAAAAAGACAAGATATAAAAGAATGCCAATCTCCAGCAGATAAATAAATCTGAAATAAAACTAAACATTTGATTTTATACCAAGCATCCTTCTAATAATGGAAAAAAAAGTTCGACTTAGTGACCATTGAAATTTCTACAACAGAAATTTCTATACCCTCTGCAGCATTTGTTGTTACTATATATTCATTATAAAGAGTTGAATTAAAACATAGAGCTATGAATGGAATGCAATCATAGGATGGATATCAGAAAGAGAATGTTCAATTGCCCATTATTATATTCAATGTTAATTTAACATTTAATTCCAGGATTCAGTCTATGTCTACACAGAAATGAAGAGACAAAGCGATGCATGCTAATGTATCAAAAAGAGCAAAAAGGCATACGGAATCAATATCAGACACAACACCATAAACATTTTCCAGGTTCTCAACCGCAACATATTCCCCTTGTGAAAGCTTAAAAATGTTCTTCTTTCGATCAATAATTTTCATGCTTCCATCTGGTTGCCACTCACCAATATCCCCTAATGTACAAAGAAGAAAGGACATCAACTTGGAGACAAACTAATGATACAGAGAACCTCAACTTAAGAAGAGACAAGTATCAGCAGACCTGTGTGGAACCACCCATCAATCATGACCTCATTGGTGAGGTCTTCACGTTTGTAGTACCCTGTGAATAGCGTATTTCCCTTGATACAAATTTCCCCACGTGGTCTGCTTGCAAGGGCATCATATCCCATTTCAGGAACAGATTCTAGACGTATATCAACATTTGGTACCGGAGGCCCCACAGTACCAAGCATTGACAATTCATTTGGCAATGAGACAAAAGTCCCCGCGCAACTCTCTGTCAGACCTACATTCAGATCGATGTTCATGTTGCATCAAGTGTGCACAATCAGTAAAGAAGAAGAAATTATCACATGTTCAAAGGCTACTTTAAAAGACAGCATACCATATCCTTGCAGAACATGGCAACATGCCACCACTCGCAGGAACTCTTCCACATGAGCAGAAAGAGGAGCTGCCCCAGATAGAATAAGCCGCACATTCCCTCCCAATCCTTGTTTTACCTGAATAAATGACAAATATGAATGAGATTAAAGAAATTAACAGGATTTGTGTTGTGGGTAATTTTGTTTACTATTTGCTTTTGACCAATATGCAAGGAACCTTGTGCTTATTATATAACAACAAAGACTTTCATCACCTTACTGAATACAATTTTGTCAGAAATTGGAGATGCCTCACCATGTTTGGAGCCCTTCCTCATGTTATAGAATTTGCTGTAGGGGTCATCATAGATATCAGAACCAGACAGCAATGCATAAATATGGAAATTAACTGGATTCGACAGATAATTGAAAATTGAAACCAAAGCCAACAAACACTAACCCTAATTAGGTAACTATGCTTAACACAGTAACAAGAAATGCAAGGATTGACTGCAAAGAATATCAACTAATGCAAAAGCTCATAATAAAGTTTAATGCCCAAAAGGATTGAGATAATTCTAGTTTTGTCTACAAGGAAAAAGATGCCATAGTGTACAGAGAGGCAAATATCCTTTGTTCTCAATTCCAGTGAGTCTGTGGTTGTAAAACTAATTTCCCCCCATCTTTTTACTCATTATTTATTGGCAGTCAGCAGATAAATTGAACTGCTTTTCAGAAGCAAACTGAAAATATGAAAGTAACTTACTATGAGTATGCAACATCGAACAATTTCTTTTTCAATAAGCTTCCCCCAGAAATCTTCTGTAGTAAACCTGATAATGTCCACATGTTATGACAGTATCACAGCTGATAATGCATTGCAGGGTCCTTTTGAAAGAAAACTGCATATATATATTTATTTCTTTTAATACAAAAGAGAATATACTTAGAGCAAGAATTTAACAATAAGATTTCCACACCCAAGAGAAAAAATAAATAAATTAGGACAAGTTTTCAAGCGAGTAGATGTTCCAGGTTGCTTAATATAACCTTAAAAAACAACCCAAAATGACATCGCCTAACCCAGATTCTAAAATCCCCTTCAATACCCTTATACATATTTAGAAAAATACTGGAAATCAATCTCCTCTGTACATTTAATATTAGAAAGTTTACCTGAATAGATTCTATCTAACACACGAGGAACAGCACAGAAGATACTTGGCTTAAGCTCCCCAATATCTTCAACCAATAGTTTCACATCCTGCAGATGCAACAAATAAGCAATTACCAATTAGAATAAACTCTTATTTGTTGACACAATATCAAATAATCATGCTCACCCCACGCCAGAATCCTATTGAGGCACCATGTGAAATAAATAACTCTTCAATCACCCGGTCAAAGATATGTGCAAGAGGAAGATAAGAAATATATACATCCTTCATGGTCAACTGCAAAATTTCACAGAAACAAACAGATGAGAGAGGGAAAGCAAAAAGAATATGTCAAAATTTAGTGTGGGAAAAAGAACAGACAGATCAAACAAAGTGTCTGGAGAAATGGTTTGTCTTGGAATCATGAGATTAAATGAAAAGATCACCTGTTCATTTACACACTCTAGCAGGCGTTTCACCCCTGCTATAAGAGTAACGATACTATCATTTGAAATCAATACTCCCTTGGGATCACCAGTTGTTCCACTAGTATACATTATTGTGCAGATATCACTTTTCTTCTTCACAGGAAGATCAAATTGCTTATTTTCTCCCTGCAAGAAACAGACATCAGAACTTAAATCAGAATCAATTGTCATCTACACATTAAAATCAGTAAGGGTAACTAAATTAAGAAGCAAATTAAACAATTATCAAACATGCATGAGACATGGTCATCAAATAATATTATAAAACACTGTTGGAAAGTTCCTTAAGCTTCCTCAATCAGAATGAATGCAAAGAAAATGCCAACTAATCTATTTATAGAGTCAAGCTGCTAAAGTTATCAAGTGGACAGGTCATCGCTTTTGCTAGCCCACAGTTCAGTCATGTATGACATTATTCCCAGAAGCCAAGGATATAAGATATCGGACCATGCATGAAAATGTAACAGATCCTTAGCTCATATTAAAGATTTGCAATGCAATGCCAGAAACATGTTTTCTACAGCTAGATAAATGCCTTTCTCTGAACCCATAACTAACATGTCTGGCAGTCGGCTAAAAAAGATACAATAATAACTTCAGCAGAATAAAATTATTTACTGATAAATTCAAGAGGATAATAACAGAGCAAGTGGCCTACCAATTGCAAAAACTCTTCCCAAGCATATATTGCCAAACCATACTTCTCAGCTTCTGCCTTCTGATCAGGTGTTACCTTCCCAAAGCTAACAATTGCTGCATAGCAAATGTACAAGCACATAAATTAATTCTAACACACTATATCAAAATAATATCCCCCCCACCAAAAATAAATAAATAAATGAAATGTACAAGCGCATAAATTAATTCTAAGACACTATAACAAAACAATACGCCCTCCACCAAAAATAAATAAATAAATGACTTACTTCTCAAGAATGTTGTTGAGTTTGGAAATGTTTTAAACAGCTGAAAGGGCAAAGAGAAACTTTACATGAGAAAAAAAATATGTAACTACAAATTCTCATATCAACACCAACTACGCAAAACTTAGCAGCATTTATAGAAGCAAATGCTGATAATAAAAAACTACAAATCTATTCCATACACAGATTTATTACTTTTGCATGTACCTAGAAATAAAATATCTTCCCCCATTGTTCCCACTTCCCATAACAATCCTAGGATTCCAAATATAGATGTAAATATGCTTACCTCATCAATCTTCTTTTCCTCCACAAAAGCAATTGAAACTTCTGCATGGCATATGATAAACTCCACAGCACCAGCACCTATAGACGACAAAGGATCAAACATTCATAAACAGTTATGCAGTGAAGTTGAGATATACTCATAATTAAAAGAGTTTAAAGATGTTATAAAAAACAGACTATCACCATGTTCAAAAATGAAGAAGCCTACATAACACACATAAGATTGTTATTTGCTGAAAGTAGTGATTTAACAAAATTCAAAGCATGCTTTTGTTGATTCTCAAGAAGAAATACCTAAAGTGTCATATAAAGGAACACAATAGAGTCCATAAGCATTGCAGGCCTGTATCAATGTGGCTGCATTAGTAAAAGTTTTGGGCAACGAGCATTTTGGTAGGAAGGAGTACGCTCAAGAGAAATATGCAAGTCAGCCAAAAAAATGCCAAAATAAGAATACCTCCATGCTTATTATCCACTCTGGGCAATTGGCACCATAAATACCACATTTTCCTCCCTGTAAGCAAGAATAAAAAGCATAAAATTTGTAAAATACACATAAATTGTGACTGTGGCCAACGATCACAGAAGCAGTATTTTTGTTATAAAAAACTTTTTCAATAACAAAAAGTTAAAGCATTACTTCCTCAACACCACAACTCCGGATGGAATTTCCGACTTTTATTACAATGTCATAAACTTCTTTGTAAGTTTGCCATACATATTTCCCAGCCTGCAGTGAGAGCACATCAATTTAGATACACAAACTAAACGTCAAGGGCAGTGCTAAAAACAGAATGCAAAAGCAATAAAACCAAATAAATAAAGCACAAAAATCAGCAGTGGCAGCATACTTTCCCGTTCACAATCTGCCGGCGACCAAGCATAGGGTTGTTAGGATATTTCTCAACTGACATGCTGCAAGGAGAAGATGAAATATGAACCATCATCATCATGTAAAACATCACTTGTTTCCATAACATAATAAATACGAGCTGTCTTAAAGTTAGTTAACAAGTTCAATCAGCCCGCATACATGACATAAGCTAAGTTATACGTTAGCAAAAAGTTTTAATCTCCACATCACATGAGCACCAAAAATCAAAACAATTACTACTATTAAACATATAAATTTTAATTTTGCAGTTTAGCACTGAGTTGAATGAAAGCCATCGATCTTTCAAGTAAAACATGGAAATCTCAGTATCTTGCTCCGTCCGAGTGTTTAAATTCAAAATTTTCAAATATTAAAATCTATGGAACTGCTCCGTCCGGTAATATAATTGAATCTTATGATGTAAAAGTAACGTGTCTTGAATCCATCGCCACTTGGATTGAAATTAAAATACATAATCAAACAAATTCAAAAATCTACTGAACTTAAAAAAAAAAGTAACAAAAGTGAAAATTCAAAAGTTAGCAACAATTTCCAAAGTCGGATCAAAGAAGAAAAAAAAATTCAAATCTTCTCCTATTTTCCGCATTTTCTTAGCAACCAAGCAAGAGGCTTAAAGTAAAAAGGAGAAAAAGTTAAAACCCAACCGGAAAATGTCCCAACAACTCTCCATTCCAGGAATCGGAGAAGGGAATCCATTCTCCGCAAAAGAACTGCGATAAACAGGGCCGATCGACGGTTTTCCATCGCTTGCGGCCTTCCCTTCCTCTACCTTGATTATATAACTCTTCTCAGCCATTTTATCAAAATGGTCAGAATCAGACGCCGCGAAGCTTTCTTTTTTGTTTTCTCTCTTCCAACTTAGAGCGGCACGTAGAGAATTAAATGTGGGACGGTGTGAGAATATATACAATGCCAAACAAATTAGGTGGCTGCGGGTGAAAGGCAAGGCGACAAAAGCACTACTTTTTTCTTTGTTCGTTTAGAGATTTTGTTTAGTTGTTTATTTATTATTGTAAGGCTTTAATTTCACATGTAGACGAGAAGATACGCTAAACGAGTAGAGCGAACGAGACGGGAAAAATAAGGGACCACTGGATCTGCGGTGGGACAGATAGTTCAGATCAGATCTAATTTGGTAACTTTTGGTCACCTGCCCAGACTGGGATTTACTCTTTTTTTTGGGGGGATTTTATTTTTATTGATAATTATATTTATATATTTTTAAGAGAAATAAATAGTTTTACTTTCCGCTTAATAAAAATTAAAAAAAATTGAATGCAAACGGCAGATACAGCTGGACACGTAGTAAACGTTTTAATGAAAGCAAAGCAACGTCGTTTTCCCAAATTGAACCTCCCCATCTGGAAAATAGATAAAGACCGAATCTTCATCATCGTCTCTCATTAGAAAAAAAAAAAAACGAAAATTCCATTTTGAGATGAAACCGATCACATCTTATTAGGCTATTATTATATCAAATCAAAACATTTTTAATGCAATTTTCTTTTTAATCTATTATATCAAATCAAGGCCTTAAATGGTAGAGTTATAAAAGGAAATGAGTGCAAATTCATTTCTATTACAACAAAAAAATGAAGTTTTATTAGTTTTTAGGGTAATGTTGTCGCAATCGCAGACGCTTTGGCAACAGTGGAAAGTGAAGTGGATGGCTAAGTCTTATATATTTCAGAGGTGCCAGTATTATCAAAAATGAAAAAATAAATTCAATTCATCGTAGTCACCAACTATACTTTTATACAGGCTAAAATAATAAATTTTTTAAATTTATAATTTTTAAATAATTTTTTATATTTTTATTACATTCAAATAGACTCTTAATCTTTTATTGATATTAAAATAAAATTTATATTTATATTTAAATAAATTATTAACATAAATCATTCTTTCATTTGAAATATAAATTTATTTAAATATAAATTAAAATATAAAAATTATTTAAATACAATAAAAAATAAAATAATTCAAAAGTTTTTTTTTTTTTTTTTTTATATTTTTAACCATCTAAAATTTTTTGCGATTGACTTTTGTTTTAGTCTTTTAAGTGGAGTTGACTTTTAGTGACTTTTTTGGTTGCCAATGACAAATGGGAAAAAGTTTACACAAATACAAATGAAGGGATTTTTTTTTTTTTTTGGTCAAAGCGGAATAAATGAAAACCCTACACAAGTGATGCTTACTACAAGTTTAAAACTCTAATCAAGTAGTGTTGACCGTTGTAAATAACCATTACCTTGCAGGTTGCAGCCCTTCATTCCTTGGCTCAAAATCATAGATAAAAATTTTCTGTCATTCTAACCTGCATTCAAAGGCCCTCAATGTATTTGTCAATCTCAATCTCACTGATACACAAAAACAATATCCTCCACATTATCAAACTACACCATCAAACTAATATACATTCGATAATTATTAGTATTATGAATGTTAATACAGAAAGAAACCTCCCATGGGAACCAACCTCAGCTAGCCCAAAGCCTTCCAACATGTGATTTATTTGTATTTTTCTTCACCACGCAAAGCACATATGCGGTGAATACATCAGTTACTAGTACAAAACCCCCAGATCATCGGGAACAGAAAATTCTCTAACCCCTGAATTGCATAAAATAACTCTTCATCGTCACTTTTTTCCTATGGCCTCAAACAATAGGCCCTACAAAATAATATATGATGCAAACTTTTAATACATATTAGTCATTATTTATGACACCAGTAACCTCATCTGAGGAAATTAATGGCAATTCAACTTCTGGGAAGAAAGTTTCCTCACCTCTTCTTGTTTTTCTTCCTTCCCTTAACTTGTTTCTCTAAATTTTTAAGCCTCTGACTGATAGCCGAAGAAGAGGGTATTCTTTGGTTTGATACTTTTGTTGGTGCAACAGGGACTGAGGCAGACTCTTCTGCTGCTGTTCTGGCTTGTTTGAGAGTTTGTTTGAGAGCTGAATATAGATCAATAGAAGCCCGTGGCGAAGTATTCGCTGGCTGCTTAGGTATTTCAGGAACACCTAAAGCCTTCTTCACCCCGGGAGCCTTAAGCACTGCAAAAGATAAAATTTTCAAGGGAAATGATGTATAGATATACTCGGAAATCTCAAGAAAAAGCAAGTCAAGTCTCATTGTACTCAAAGTCAAATGCATTTCCCTTTTTTTTGGGTTTTGGGGGGGGGGGGGGGGGGACGGGAGGTGAAATAACAATAGAAGAAAAAGTTTGATTGGAAACAGGAAATTTAAGGACTCACCTAGTCCATAAGCGAGGGAAAAAAAATTTGATGTAATCCAATAACAAAATATGGCCTGTAGAATAAATGAGATGAAAATTATAATCACATGTAAATATTCACAGGAATTAACAATTCTAGCACCAAAACTTTAAATAGCAATTCTTTAAAAAAGGTGTATACAAACGCATACCACAGAGAGAGAGAGAGAGAGAGAGAGAGAGAGAGAGAGCTCCACAAGCTTCAATTCTTAATTTCTTAATGGAAAAACTTCAATATGCACATAAAGCTCTACTAGTTATGATAATTATTTCTTAATTTCTTAATGGAAGACTTCAATTTCCACAGAAAACTGTTTTACGTCATCCTACTTATCTTAAATCTGGCATTGGGCTCAAAAATTTCAAGACTTCTACTTGAGATGATAAGCGCTCACCAATGGCACTATTCGCACATACTAGCAAAAATGGTGCACCAGCTTGTTAAAGCAGGCAATGCAAATGGATTATATGAGCTAGTTAAGGGAAACCATTTCTCATGGTTGCAGCAGATGACCTATTCGGGTAGGAAAAATCTTAATACAAAAGAATGTCCAGAAACCAAAAAACGACGTGGCGATACCTTTGGGAAACCCATGGTAAATGGAACTGTAAGAACAGCAAGGACCCTAGATATATTTTTCATAGTTGCAGCAACAGGATTCCCTTCCATACCTTCTTGCATGTTGAGCTGAGGACATAGTAATTAAAACTGATTCAACAACAGAAAGGCTCAATGTAAAACTGCTCCATATTTTACTTTCATCCAGAAAAAAAAGGAAGCTTACCTCCACTGTTGTCAAAAAAGTCAGTGCTGTTAACACTGGAAAGATGTATAAACTATCGGGAGTAGTGAGATCCAGAAACCAATATGCTCCACCGCATTTAAATGATGGCATTTTCTCAGCCATGGTCGTAATCTGGGATAAAAGACAAGTCACCAGGAATAAATCTAAATGTATTATATTCAATTCTAAGACCAAAACAGTAATCCTTTACAGAATGTTACTAAAAAAAAATTTATCTTACAGCAATGTAAAAGCTGACAAAGATGGGCCCCTGAATAAAAAGCCCTTTCAGAGGAGTAAATGGAGTAACACCATATCTGCAATTATTTAAAATAAAAAAAATGAAATTGTCGAGTAAAACCAGTAAAATAGACATTTAAGTGAACCACTATATCAAGCACATTCTGATGAGCCAGAAACTAGACACATACCACCAACTGAACTATCATCTAAAACAACTCATGTCTAATATAAATATGCTTCTAACCTCATATGTATAGAATAAAATCATTTAGTATCCTCCAAGACAAATTTTAAGAGATAAGCTAACACTAAGAACCTAACATGACTTCAGATTAAGATGGAGACCCAAACTAGTTTGTTATTGGAGGGATAAGATTAGCACAATAGATTAACTAAAACAAATTTCAATGAATGTGAGGCTACCAGAACATTTTTCCTTAACTAAATACTAAATTGGTATCACGAACCAGGGCCCTTCAGAAAATTAAGAGATTATAGTATGAAAAGCCAATTAACTGATTTTAGTGATTTTATCATGGAACCAAAGGGTATGCAATCTATTATGAAAAGTACTCTCAGCAGGCATATGAGCTGGTCCTAATAGGAAAGTTGCTCACTCGGTGAAAAGCTTTTTCATTTCATTTTGACCTTCCACCGTTGACAGGGAATCACTACCCTGCAGAAAAATAGGTAGAAAATTGTTAGACTTTATTCATACTATCATAAAAGAAACAAAAACCTCCATGGAATCTGAGCATCCTCCACGATTATGGACAAAAGCAGATAACAGCATGCAATCCACAGAGTTTAGATGGTTCCAAATAATAACACGATCACAGTAGAAGCTGGCACCAGACCTTGCTTGCCATCCGCTCCTTGATTTCCTCCAAGCGTGGCCTCATTAGCTGCGGATAAACACAAATTACTAAAGACAGACCAATTTGGCTAAAAATAGACAGAGAACAACTTAATGAAATAGAAAGATCCCTTTTTTTTTTGTAAATCAAGCTATGAAAAAATAAAGAAATAAAAAAAAAGCAGTCTCTAAGTTGCAAAACTGAAGTCACTTACGAGGCAAAAGAATATCTAAAGAGAGAGCCATGAGTTACCTTTCTTTATCATGCACATGTCATAATTGGGAACTAATCAATGGATAACTGTTCATTCATGCTAGTCAAACTTCAACTTTGTTTTTGAACAAAAATTTACAAGTCAAGCAAAGGCATATTAAACTTCCCAGAACTAGAAGAATAAGATGATGCCTCTCAGTTCCTTCTTTTCCTTTTGCACTATTAACAAGGTCTAAAGGCAAGATCCAATGCCATCCAAATTTCAGTAGTAGTATTACCAGACTAGAACACAATTAGCATTATCACATTCTCCAGTATTTCATATTATCAAGTTGCAGCTTCATATAAGCATCAAAACAAAAAATATACTTAATTCATCAAAAATTGCATACTAATCATAAATATAATGTCCTATATATAGACTTAGGAAAATAAAATAAGTGAAGCATACAGAGCAAACTCCAAGTTAAAAAAAAAAAAGAGGATGAAAAAAAAAGAAAAAAAAAAGTAAAATTACACACTGTCATTTTTGTAGTAGCTTTAAGTTGATTTATCAAAAGTGGAAGAGTTGCTCCTCGAATCAAAAGCGTTGTCACTACTATGGAAGCCCACCTGAAATAAATAATAAACCAATAGTGTTAAAAGATTAAAAGAAAGGTTCTATTTTCAACATTGTATGTTATTAAAACTGAGGTTAGCATAAACCAACAAGTCACAAGATACATATTGCATAAGATAAACTGTGCAGATTCACATCAGGATTTATCTGTCATCCTGTTGCAGGTAGTGAATTTAATTCAACCACATATAAGAGATAATAATGATTGATTTGACTAGAAACTTAAAGATTAAATATAATGAAGTGATATACAAGCAAGTTTTAACTAGCGTTCCATATTCAGAGCCCTGATAGTTTATGCTGTCTCCCTTTCATCATTTGAAATATTGCTCCAGTAGATAGTTTGAAGCATCAGTTTTGAAGGCAATTGGTTGAGTAATTTATACAACAACAATAATAACAACAAACTAAGCCTTATGAAAGGCCAAAAGAAGGCTTTTCTATGCAATATTTTTTCTGAAATCATTACCATTGAACACGCAGTGCATTCTTGAAACATCTGCATAATTGCAAATATATAAAATAAGTAAAAGCAGCAACTTACCAGTTAAAGCCGGTAAAAGAATGAACTGCATCAATAATATACTGCAAGGTAGCAACAGGTAACCAAGAATCAGCAGCAGCAATGGCAACCTCATTCACAGCAGGAGCCTGTGAAGTCACTGCTTCAACAGCACTATCCTTAAGAACTTCCGCAACATCACTCATGAGCTCAATCTTATCTGCCCCACCGCTAACCGTAGTGGACATATACCGATAAAAAGATACGCCAGAGCTAGGAAGAAAAGATAGTTGGGAGCATCTTCTATCTTGGAACAACAAACCAAACCCTGAGGATGAATTACTAAACCCAGTTCCAAAAGATCTCTGCTGAACAAAATTAACGGGTTTTTGTTGAGATAGGAACTCGTTTGAAGGTTGATTTTTACGGTCATCTTCATGGACAATGTAGGCAAATGATGGTTGATATCGTCTAGCTATTAGGGTTGCTCTATTAGAAAGGCTACGCCTAAACGCCATTGATACGGAAGAATAGAAATTCCTCTAACAAATGAAAACGGAAAAGAAGAATAATCAAATTAAAACCATAACCCAAGATAAATACAGCAGAAGAATATTAAAATGGAAAACATATCTCGAGATTCATTTATTACCAATCACACAAAATCACTAAGAAGAGGCAATACAATAAGATTTATGAATTCAAAATCTGGGAATTCCAAACAGAGTAACCAACTTCAACAATACTGGAAGTATGAAGCAAAAACTCACCGTTTCAACCTCTTGTGTTCAAAAGACAGAAGGTTTTGCCAGGTGCTCAAACGACGCAGGCGCTCTCCGAACAGAACTGGGTTTAACTCCTCTGCTTTTCCTTCCTCGTACAGTTCTTTAGTTCCCGTCAAGGTATGGTACCAATTCGAGGGTAATACCGTCCTTTCGAAGTGGATGGAATGGGCTGCCATTGACAATTTTGGGTCCAGCTTAGCCCAATCATTGACTGTCATTTCTATCTTCTCTTTTTTAGCTTTGAATTTTCATGTAAGGCTACTGTGTTTGTTTTAACCAAGGAGCTTAGCCCAATAGCTAATGGACATCTGCCGGCCATTTAGCATCTCGTATTAATCTTTGGAATAATTATTGCAGAAAAAACAGTTTTTATTGTGTTATCTTTACTTTGAAAAGGCCATTTTATAATTCATAATTGGAGATCTAAAACAACAATTTCCCATTCCCCCCAGCATACAATTAAAGCATAATCTATAGTCTCGATGATGATGATAAAGAGGATAACGTAGGAGTGATTCGATCGAGCAGGCTCCTCGAACTTATAGCGACACGTGGGACATGTTGCATTGGATTTAAGGCTAAGCCATTCGTTTATACAAATGACATGAAAATAATGGTTGCAATTAGGTATAGTTTTTAACATCTCTTTGGCTCGGTGCTGTCATTAGGATTCGGTAGTCACCGGCTTTGACCTGCAAAGTTACAGGGTATGCTTCTATGGTTCGTCTATCGAGGCCATTTGAAGTGGAAGTTGATTGAGCTAGGGGTGATGATCGGGGTTGGGGTGGTTGTGCTGCTCGTTAGACTTCATGCTGTGGCAACTTATAATCCCGATGAGGCACAGGAGGGTTATCCCCACACCAAAAAGTGAGCCATATTAAGCACTTTTTGGAAGCCCTAAATATGCATGCAAATTAAGTGGAAATTCATAAATGATCAAGTAATTAAGAGTATCAACCCATCTGATTAGTTAAAAACTGCTGTTGCATGAACCCAGCAATGCACAACGTTTGCATTAACAGGTAAAGCTGCAAGGGAATGATCTCAGTTTGAGCATATTTTTTTAATTGATTCCCTCTATTTAGAATACTGGAGATATAAAACAAGACTATTTCTGCACAATGAAAATATATAAATTAATTAATCATCTACTACTGTGATGAAGATGAAGAAGATAAAACAGTGGAAGCAGATTTCTCTAGGGTATTTCGACATAATGGACATGCAGCATTCAATTTCAACCACTCATCGATACAAATGGCATGAAAATAATGCTTGCAATCTGGAATAGTCCTTAAATTTTCTCTAGCTTGGTATTCACAAAGACAAATTGAGCAAGTGTTATCATTTGGCCTTAGTAATCGCCGGCTTTCACCAAGCAATGTTACTGGATAGGCCTCAATGGTTTGTCCATCCAGACCTTTGGCAACAGTTTCTGATCTGGAAGCGACTGAATTGGACAATACTTCCGGGTTGGAATGTTGATAACTATAATCGTTGGCCTTGCCGCGGAGGTAAATTACCAGGGCGAGGATGAGCAAGAGGGGTATTCCGACGCCAAATATTATACCGTATTTTGCACCTTTTGAAAGACCTAAAATGAAAAAAAAAAAAAATACTAGTTAATGAAAATTTTACTAATGTGGGACAACAAAATACTAATGAAACACGCATGTTCACTTTTAGAGAACCATTGACCGCCATAAATCTCTGATATTCAAGCTCAGCCTTGCGTGTTTGTGGGTGCATGAAAGCGATGCCTTACCAACGGATGGAGAACTCAATAGCAATTTGAAATTTGTCTTTTGTTCACCTAACTATGTACTATCCCCCTTCTATTCATTGTACCAAAAAACAAGCATGTTAACCATGACTCGTGTGAGGAATTAAAGCTAGCACTGTGTGAAAAATGTGGCAACCGACTGATATTTTACATTCTGACGTTTCCCAAATCTTTATATTAGCTAAAAATAAACTTTTAGAGCCAATAATTTTCAATAATGCAACATTAACAGAGTTAGACAAAAGATGAAACCTAATATAGCATTTTTTAATCAAATTAACCAATATGCTTCACTGCAAAAAAGAACTTACCATTGCTGAAACCACCGGAGCATCCAACAACCAGGCCCGTATCACTCTTGAACATGCAAGTCCCTGCCCTGCTTTCGCACCACAGGCAATTAGGTTCACTCCATGTCAACCTGATACCATTGCCAGGATCCGACCAACCTGCCCAGGAAAATGGAACCAAAACCGTTGCTATCTCCAAACACGACGTCGATAACGATGTAGACAAATCAAGTAGGTCAGCCGGTATAGCGACGACAGAAAAATCTGTGCCGCTAAGACAAGAGATATACCTTGCTTCAGGTAATTCTTTTGATGCAGGGGAGCAATTGAAAAACGTGTAGCTTCGAGGATATAGCAAATCAAAAGGAGTACCAGATAGATTAAGTCCCTGAAGAAGACGTTTTGGGGCGCAATAATCTGGGTCGTTGATCCATATATTTTGGAACATATAGTCAATGTTTACGACATTGAAGTCACCAGAAAATGGAAGCGAAAGGATAGGCTGGGCTTGGTTTCTGCATGAGAGATTGAACCTGGGATAGCCACAGCGATCAGGTTGGTTGTTGAGACGGAAAGGGAAGCGAATCAATTGAATCCCACATGAAACACGGCAAATTTCAACGCTTGTCGATGGTTGAAGAGAGAATAGGAAGAAGGAGGCAAAGATAATTCCTAACACTGCCATTTCCTGCTAATTGAAAACTAAAAAAAAAAAAACCCTTTGCTTTTCTTTTATCGTAACCCAGTATCTCTTCCTGACTACAAAGTTACAAAAACAAAAGTTGAAGAATAGTTGGTTAGTCAAAAGATCCAAAGAAAATGAGATAAAAATACGAGTTCAAAGATGTCGTTTTTTGTTTACTCAGAAGGCAAAAAACGTAAATGGTGTTTTTCATGGGAGCAGCTTTCCTTTTATCTGTTTAATAATAGGTCAAAGGGAACGAGACAAAACAGGAGGTTAACATCTTACATTATTTTGGAGAATTACAATGCGACCACTACGGAGACTTAAAATTAAGTGTGGACGAGTCTATACATTAGATTAAAGTAGTCCCTTACAAATTTTGTTTGTAATTTTAAGTCAAATCAAATTTAGCTTTAATTTTGATTTTAGGGGTGATTTTGTAAGTTAATTTTATATGTAAGTATGAATTAGAGGTGTTAATAATATATTAATACTTGCAAGTTATTCGAGTTCTATTTGAATAAAATTCGAATTTGGTTCAATTATTATTGATTAAGTTCAAACTCAAGTAGCTTGATTTATCAATCAAGTTGAGTTTAAGCATTTTTATACTAAATTTGAATAGTTTACGAGCTTAATAAATTTTTTATATTTAATTTATTTTAATTATTTTAATTAATAAAATATTTCAAACTTAAATTTTAGTTCAAACAAAAATAATCGAATTTTTATTGAATATAAGAATCGAGCTTATTTTTTCATGTTGATCGAGCTAAATCAAGCAAACTCCAGTAATTCGATTTTTATCTTGAGTCAAATTTAAACAAAAAAAAATAAAATTCGATCACATTCAAGTCGAATTTTGAGTCTTGAATTTCGAGTTGAGCTCAAACTTAATATTATATTGATTCAAATTTAATTGATTATACTCCTAATATGAACTAGTTGATAATTAAAAAATTGAGAACTTAGAAAAATTAAGCTAATTGTTGGCTTCTTTAGTTTTATTATTCATCAACTGTAATCATAATGACTACCATATACACTTATGCTTAAATATTCGTATTTTTCTCTAACAATATGTTTGGATTGAGGGGAAGGGAAGGAAAGAAAAATAAAAGAAAGTAATGGAAACAGAAAAACCTTTCATTTGTTTATATAAGCTTTTAATTTAAAGGAAAGGAACGAAGTTGAAACTCAATAACCCTTGATTTACCTTATAGTCTTCACTTTTTTAATACCCCAATTTGGGGGAAAAGCTGAGGAAAGAAAAGCTAAATTTTTTTTTTTTTTTGTAAAAAGACTATTATATCAAACTTTTTATTAATACTAAAAGCCTAGTAAAAAAAACTTAACTACATCACAATCTTTCTATAATTTTTTTAAAGTCATATCTTTTTTCAAGTAAGTTTTACATATCTCTTCTAATATAAAATTTTTTTATAATTTTTTAGTGATTTGATCTTGATGAATAATTGAATATGAATAGACATATTTTTTAGGTTTATGATATGTCAAAATGATAATGTGTTGAAATTTTGATAATGGCCAACAAATTTATCAATACATGTTTGTAAAATATCTTTTTGTTTCACTTGATTAAAAATCACTAATATAATAAAAATTATGAGGCTAGATAAGATAACAAACATATTATGATCCAGAAATGCATTATAAAATCACAAGTAATGAAAAGTTATAATTATAAAAAATTATTATAATGAATCATTTCCTTTCTTTTTCACTTTTTATCCAAACAATAGTTGTTAGAATTTCTTGTTTTTTTTTTCTTTTATTAATTTTAATTATCCAAACAAGGGGTACATGTATCATTTCTTTTCCTTTAAAAAATTTTCTTTTCCTTTCCTTTCATTTCCTTTATTAATATTTATCCAAACATAGTGTAAAAGTCTTGTGTTGTTGATTTGCATTTAATTCAAGATCTTGGGTTTGATTAGAACTTAGAAGAATTTATCGGTTGGATTATAATTTTATTCAATATGAAATAGATATTTACAAAATAATATTTTATGTAAATAAATCAATAAATTAATTCAATCAAAACTCAATTGATGCATAAATAAAAAAATTAAAACTTAATTTTAATGATAAAAACAAAATTTTATTATTTCACAACATATTCAAACATGAAAAAATAAACTAAAATCTATCAATTTTAATTTAATTCATGAATATTTATACTATTTAATATATATGTTAAATTTAAATAATACAAATAACTAAATACATTTACTCACGATTAATTAGATTTATGGATATCATACATTTATAAATTGATAAATTATGAAGAGCTACATGCATTTCAACTATAATTTTTTTTATACTACAATGTTATAATTGTCCAATTATAATCAAGAATTATGTGAGAGCTTACCATATGCACTCCACGTAATATTTTGGTAAACCCTAGATAATTATAAAATCCAATTAGATAATTTTAATATAATTATTGTAAATAATATGCTTTTGTAACGGTAGATATGAATTTAGACTCAAAATATTAAATTTAAATCACATTAAATATGAAATATATTTATTCATAATTAATTAGATTCATTAATACTATGAAGTTGGTTAAGTTAATGAATAGTTAAATTTATGAAAAATTAGATTCATATAATTTAAAATAATAAAAAAAAGAACATGAGTGAATAGTATCAATGAACTAATCAATTACAAATCATACAATCTATATTTTATAACTCATTCGACTTAATCCAATCAAAAATTTAAAGTTAAGGACATGTGTCATTCAATTAGACAATTTAATTCACCAAATGTTATCTCATCTCTTTAGATTTAGCAATTCATATATTATTTTCTCGTAAAATACTGACAATTCATCTATTTGTATATTATTTTATACAAAAATTATATATCATAATCTGTGTCAACACAAATTATCAACAAACAAATATGAAACATTTTTTTTTATTTTGTTAAACTCATATATAATTTTTATAAAAATTTTAAACCGTATCAAATTCATCACTTTTTTATATCATTTTCGTATCTTATTTTTCGTATGAAATATAGATGCCATAACACACTTATTTTTTAATTATGTGTTAATTTTACAAATAGCTTTAACTGATTGTTAAGATAGCTTATATATATATATATATATTTATTTATATATTTTAAAAAAATCTTTAGCTTTAATAAATGTAAAAAAAAAATCTTTTTAACTCCTTCATCCTTATATTTCTACCAAAACTAACCTTAAATATAAAATTAACTTTCAAAATCACCCCTAAAATCAAAATTAAAGCTAAATTTGGTTTGACTTAAAATTACAAGTAAGGGACTACTTTAATCTAATGTACAGATATTCAATTGGATTGATCAATTATTAAATTTTCAAAGGTTAGAAAGAAAAAAGATTTGCCGCTATTACTGTATATTTTTAATATTTGAGATTAATAGAGATTAAAGTAGAACTATGATAAATGAACACTCAACTAGAGCATATGATTGTTGGCGCCACTATTATTATAGTAATAATACGCAAGGATGCACACTTACAATTAGAGGTGGCAAATGAACTCTCATAAATGGTTTTAAAGGGCATCCAAATATGATAAATAATTTTAAAATTAAGGTTTTTTTTTTAATGAAAAACTAGAATTAGTCATCCACTATTACCCTGGCAAAAAAAAAAAAAATCCACTATTACCCACTATTACGTTAGGGTAGACTAATTATTTTAATATAAAAACCATAAAAAAAGTAAATAAAATATTATTAAAATTTTAAAATTAAAAAATATATAATATTTTGGATGTTGTGATTTTTTTTTGTTATTTTTAATGTTATATTATGAGTGTTATTTTTTATTAATTATTTTATCAAAGTGTATGATTTTTAAATTTTTTTGTGGATTATAAACTTTTTTATAAAAATATTTAAAACGACTTAAAATTTATGTTTTATTATTTATTATTTATATTTATCATTATTATTATTATATTATTATTTTTATTTTATTGTACAAATTAAAAACTCAAGACTTGTTAAAAAATATATCCGATTACAATATAATATCAGACAAACATCACCTTCATTTTTTCAAATTCAATTGAAGTCCAATTCATCATGTCCTAATCCAATTAAAATCTAACACATTTTGACATGCCAAACCCAATAATTTATTAAACTTTTTTATCCATCAATTACTATTTGATAAATAGAAAGTAATTTGGTAGTTCAATTGTGAGCTGTTCTTTAATTTAATCTTATCCATACTTGGGAGTATTTTTCATTGTATGTTATTGATTAAATTATGAGTGGAGAAGGTATAAATATCATTTTAACGTTCATTCAAATATAGTACTAATTAATTATATTTTATTTAAATAATTTTTTATTCTTAATTAAAATTTATTATTTAAAATATTAGAAAGTTTGTAAATTTTCTCTAATATTTTAACAAAATTTCGAACAAATTCTCTTTCCTCAAAAATATTTAAAAAATTTATTTATTTTTGTAAAGATGCTGTCTTTGGATTAATTTAAAATTTTATAGAAAAAAGTTTATTTTTATTTTATTTTACCAACCTTTATTTTTTCTAAATATTTTATTAAAAAAATTTGTATTGAACTACTTCCAAAATCTTTCAAACACTTTTGGAAAGATTCTAAGATAATTCATCACTTAGGAATTTAAAGTACCACTTTTAATTTTCTTTTAATATCATCATTGGAAAAATTTTCATTTATTTTCATTTTTTTAAAGTTAATGATACAAATAAATAAATAAATAAATAAAATCAATAACAATATATTAAAGTTATCACCAATTATAAAATAGATTTTACAAAAAAAAATTTAACACAATTTTATTTTATTTTTTGTCAAGTGATTGAAACATATTCCTAATATAAATTTTTAAATGTGTACGTAAATAAAAAAATAAAAAATAAATAAGTAAATCAATCAATAACAAATAAATAAAACTAAAAGAAAAACAAAATAAAGAAAAAAAATTGATTATCATGTGTCCAAAACAAAGAAAAAATACCAAAATTTTTTTTCCAAATCATCCCCAATCAATTTATTTCATGCTTTAATTAACCTGTCTTTGGATTTGAGAAATCTCACATTTGGGGATAACTTTAATATATTGTTATAGA